ATGAATTGGTTTGTAGTTCTTTTCCTTCTCCCTTTGCATTTTTGAAAGAAATTCCTTTCTGAATCTTATCCCCCCCCCTTTTAGTTTTTTTAGTATCTTTTTTTGGTGACATTTAAGAATAGCTTAGAGTTCTTATTATCAGTTTAGAAATTGTCATTATATTTTCTCTAATTCAATACTGCCTAGTAGAACTTTTTGTGATGGTGGAAATTTGTGCCATCCACTAGTAACATGTGGCCCTTGAGCACTTGAAATGTGGCCAGTGCAACTAAGGTACTGAATTTTAAGTTATTTAATTTTAATTAAAATAACCTCATATAGGTTATTTTCTACCCTATGTCTACCCTATTAAAACTCAAATTTCAGATCATATGTTGATGATTCTCTAGCACACAGAAGATCGATGTATTTGAAAATCCACAGTTGTAGGTTCCATTGGTAAGACTGTGAAATTGACTGATTCATTACCTAGTTAATGCAGATCAATTCCCATTGCTATATAAAACTTAACTTTTAATGGAGAGGAATTTGACTATATAGCTAGTGAACAAACTCAAAACTGGTTAAAGTTCATAGTAAATAAAAATTCCAGGGAACGTCAAGCTATGTAATCTTTTACCTGGTTTGCTGTGTCCTAACTGATCCTTTTGCATTTACTCCTGTCCCTATCTGATTCATTTTCCACAATTTAATACTTTAACCTAAGCAGTCATTTCAGAATACAGATTTGATCATGTAACCCCACCATACTTAACCACTTCATTGGTTCTCCATTCTCTCAGGAAAAAGACTAAAGTCCTGTAATGTGACCTATAGTGGTAGGCCTCAGTTTATACTGTATTTTCTCTTACTCTCTGTTCAGAAGCCACATTAACTTTTCAGTCTATTAAACATTCTGTTCAGATGACTCTTGTTAAGATCATCCATGATTTCCATCTTACTAAATCCGAAAGTTAATTTATGTTCACATTTTTCTTGACTTCCTAGGAACATTCAACATAGGTGACCATTCCCCTCCTGAAACCTTTTCTCTGACTTCTGTGATATCACAGTTTTTCTCTTGCACTTTAAATGCTAGAGTTCTTTCTTGACCCCCTTCATTCCCAACAGTGTTCCTCAGTGATCTCTTCTCGTCTCATGACTTTTAATAACATCAACTTGTTAATATAACTCTAGCCTTGTTTAGTGTCAGACTGGTATTTTCAACTTTCTATCCAATTTGTCTATGCAGATATTTAATAAGCGTCTCAAACTTACCATGTCCAGAGCAGAACCTTAAAAAAGGAAAGAAAGAAAGAAAGAAAGAAAGAAAGAAAGAAAGAAAGAAAGAAAGAAAGAAAGAAGAAATAGAAAGAAGGAAAAGAAACAAAAACTTTTTGTGTGCAAAAATTCAGTCCTATTCAAAAGGAGAGATAGTACCATGGATCCCTATGTACCCAAACCTTAACTTCAGTAATCAATTCATAGCCACTCTTGTTTTATTTATATTTTACCACTCACCCTAACCTATCCAGATTATTTTGCAGCACACCCCAGATTCCATAGTTTTTTCTGTAAATATTTCAGTCTCTATCTCTAATAGATTATAACTTTAAACACAATATCAGTATCATACAATTAACAATAACCCTAAATATCATCAAATATCCTTTGAGTCATAATGGAACTTTGATCTCATTCCTTTCAAATCTTTTCCTCCCTCAGTCTCCCTGACATCAGTTAATGACACTACCATCCATTCAGTTGTTCATGCCTCAAACCTAACAGTCATCTTGTTTTCTCATTCCCCACCACCAATTCATCAATTTAGCCTATCTACTTTCAAAATATATCCTGAATCCAGCTTCTTCCTAATTCTGTTGCTACCTCTCAATCAACCAGTCTATCTCTTGCCTAGACGACCATAGTAGTCTGCTAAATAGTCACCCTGTTTCCATTCTCTTCTCTATAATCCATTCTTCATCTACAGGCGAAGTTATCTTTTAAAAAATTAATCATGTTATAGCATTCCTTTGCCTAAAACCCTGTTGCCTTTAGAACAGAATCCTTAATTGTTTCCATGGTCCCTGTTGTCCTTCATTTTCTGGTCTACTCTGACCTCACGTAATATCACTTTTTCCCTTATTCACTCCTAGCCCACTTGCCTGCTTTTTATTCTTCATATACCCCAAAGTTTGTTCTTGCCTTACCAATTTTGACTTATTCCCCCACATGTCCTTTTAGTTGGCTCATTCATGTCATTCAGTTCTTAGCTCAAATGCTGTATCTTCAGAGAGGCCTTTCTGGATCTCCTTATCTAAAGTATTAGCCCCTCAGCCCCACTGTCATTCTTCATCCAATTACTTCAGCTTGTTTTCTTTTTCACAATATTATTCGATACTGTAATTGTCTTGTTTATTGAGGCACTTGCTTATTATCTGTCTCTCCCTATGAGAATTTTGCTCTTTGAGAGCAAGGACCTTTATTCACCACTGTAGCCCTGGTATTTAGAATGGTGCCTGACACCCAGTAGACATTACTAATATTTTTTGAATGAAGAGTGAGTTAATAAATGAACTGTGTTCTAAATGCTGCATATGTTTAAAGACAAAAGATTGTTGAGGACTCTTGGCCAAGGAAAGAGTTTTACCTAAAAGGTGTAATTTAAACCTTGGCTCAGGAGATCATTTTGATGTAGATAGGAGAAAAGAGAGATTTTTAAAAGAGATTTCTTTCTTTCTTTCTTTCGAATAGTCAAGTTGTAGGCGTGCTAAAGTTGGAAAGGAAGGTCCCTGTGTACTACTTCTGCCATTTGTGTAGTTTTTGACACTAAATGGTGCTCCCGACATTTGGAATCTGCCATTCACATATATATCCTCCATTGTACTCAAAACACTCAAAGTGGTGGTTGCTTAGTGAATATGTTGACATTATCCCTTAATCCAGTTTATAGAGAATAATAGTACTGTTGATCAAAATAGAAAGATACTGGAAGAGAGGATAAGATAGTGACATTGGTTTTATTTATTTATTCTTATTTATTTTTTTTGTTTTATTTATTTCTGAGAGAGAGAGAGAGAGAGACAGCGTGATCAGGGGAGGGTCAGAGAGAGAGGGAGACACAGAATCTGAAGCAGGCTCCAGACTCTGAGCTAGCTTTCAGCACAGAGCCCGACACAGGGCTCGAACCCATGAACCGTGAGATCATGACCTGAGCTGAAGTTGGATGCTTAACTGACTGAGGCACCCAGGCGCCCCTGTTCATGTTGGTTTTAGACCAGGCATTTGCCTGTGTTTTATTAGTCTAAATTATAAGCCTTCTACAGCTATTTAACTTCTAGATTGAGATCTAGAAAAAGTCATTAAAATACTGATTAAAGATTAATAGACTGATAGGAACAGAATCTAAACTGCAGACTTAGACTGAATGGCTTAAATGGTTATTATAATTGGAAACACATAAATGTTCATTATTGGGGAAGTAGTCTTATAGACTGTGACACCTCCACAGGATATTTATGCAACTATTAAAAATGTCTTCAGGCCACTTTGAGTAATAAGGGCAAAATGCTCATGGTATAATGTCATAAAAGCAGACTTTAAAATGTTTCAAAAGACCTCCAGTTTATAAAAATATTCATAGGTATGTACAGAAAGAACTAAAAACATCTTAGAATATTAATAATAGTCAACTATGGATGACTTTGTTTTAATTTTTTTCCAGTTTTTCTAAAATGATTTGTAAAACTTTAATCATAAAAGCTTTTATTTTAAAATGGATGAAGAAAGAAATGAAGTTGGTTTGAGTCACTGATTTCAGTTTGGCAAAGGAAAGAAATAAGTTGGTATGTTGAAGGAGGTGTAGAATCAACCAAAGTTCCTTTTAATACACTTCAATATTGAATGTTAACTTGTTGGGTGTTTTTAATATATTTCTAGCATTGTATACTTCAATTTCCCTGATGATTTTTCAGTCATCATGTTTTGTTTTGCTGGGCTGAGGGGTGGAGATAATTTAAGAAACAATTAAAAAAGAAAGAGAAGAGTATAATATAGTGCTAGAAACAGTTTCTAGAGTTTGTATTTTCTAGAGACAGAGTGTACCTGATGCCCAGCCTTTCTCTAGTGACAAGTGAAAAGAAGTACAAGTACCCTAATCAAAATGTAGAGAGAAGGGACTATCCTATGTGGCTATTATCACCAGAGTCTTTCTAAATCCCCTGCCTTTTAGTATTATTTTTCTTTTGGTTGGTTTTTTGAGAGTTAGAGTCTTTTCAGGAGGAAGAGATCCTTGGGAAATGTGAGTAGGGTTGCTTAGAAAAGGCAAAACTAATTTCTGTTTGTTCTATGAATAAGATAGCCATGCAGAGATTTGATTCCTTCTCTAACGGCATGCTTTGTTTTATTATTTTTGTAACAAAAAAAAAATAAAACAATCATAGGAAAAAGCTAAAAAATACCAAAAAAACCTAGAAGGTCATAGGTTAATTTGTACACGTGAACCACTACTGAGTTTTTTTTATATATAGCTTTATAGAATTTTTCCATCTAGGACCACATTTTAGAATGATAGACATAGAGGGAATAGAGCAAGCAATTATGCTGGATTGTTTGGGACAATTTGAGGTAATCCAGTTTAGTAGAAACTTTTATTGGCTGTATGCTTGGATGGAAAGAGCACACACTGTTTGCTAAGCATGTGTCAGCAGGTGTGGTTTAAAAATGAATAAAACAGTCATGACCCTTGAGATGGTCACATCTGAGCCAAGGAAACAGGGTTGATGCCCATTCTTAGAATTACTATTAAATAATCTACCTATTATTCTTCTTGTAATATTATTCTTGTAATAAAGATTTTCCTGTGGATGCACTAAATTTGTCATGGTTTCTCTACTCCTAACTTACAGCTTTGTAAAATATCCAAGAAATTTATGGAGTTTTGTTGTTGTTGTTTAAATGTTTCTTTTTTATCACTTAACTTTCCTTTCAGGTTATTATTCTTTTATTTTAAATATATATAGGAATTACTCAAGGTGATGAGGACGATTGATGACAGAATAGTACATGAATTAAACACTACGGTTCCAACAGCTTCCTTTGCAGGGAAAATTGATGCAAGCCAAACCTGTAAACAACTTTATGAGTCTGTAAGTGTATCTTTTTAGTCTTCCGTGCTTCCTTTATTCCTTTCTTTGCAGGCAAAATAAGAAACCAATTGACATATAATTAAACTGGACAAAAATATGACATCTTCATGTTTTCTTGCCTACATCTGAGGGTGTGTATAAGTTTTGATTTGGTTGCTACAAACTAAAGAAAACGTGTGATCTTATTTATAGGTTTCTGGAGAGATAGTTCTCAGGAATGAGGGCATTTTTTGCCCCTTTATGGGCAGCCTTTAACTTAAGAAACCTTATGCACCAAGGAACAGAGTAGAGAGTGAGTCAAGTAAGACAGTGAAATAAGAGAAAGGGCTTTGAATGAATCAATCCTAAGAAGCCAGACACCTGATATAATGAATTACAGACTTTTATACTTTCTATATCTTTTTTCTTCCCTCAATCATCAGGGAGGGGAATAGAAGCATTTGATAGTTGGGAGAGAAGCCACAGATAAATTATCCTTTCCTGAGGCTTTGGTTTCTCAAATATATATATTTTTTCGTAGCCTCTTAAAGATTCCTTTTATGTCTCTTTATAATTTCCAAAAGCAAAAGGAAATAGTAATGTAGCTAAGTATTTTTTTTACAATTTACTTATATCTTTTCATTAATTTGGAAGCTAATGTTCAAATGGCATTTGCTTTTCTTTGATCTCCCACTAGATTACTATTTAGATTCTTATAAAGAAGATATTACTTAAAACCTAAAATTCTATTTCTCAATTATGAAAAACAGTCAGTTTTATTCATACCAATTAAATTCAAAGCATTAATAATTGCTGATGTTTTTGTTCTGCTTTTATATGAAAGTGTGTTATTTTATTGAGTGGTCAGGTGATTCTTGTGGCTTGAGAAAAATTGCAGAGTTGTGGACTTTAATGAATAGAATCCAGTATTGGAAGTAGGGAGCCATGAATCGAAGCCCTAATTTATTTTGAGGTTGTTCACTTAGTTTCTTTGGGTAGCTCTGATCATAGAAATTTATGATCAGTTTAGTGATGCCCCCCTCACTACCCATATAATCTCTAGAATCTATTCAATTGTTTCCATTTATAATCTTTTTTTAACCTAAAGATTTATAGCATAGGGATTAACAACGTGGATTCCAGATGTAGATTAAATCCTACCTTTACTTCTTCCTAACTTGTAACCTTGAACATGTTACATAACTTTTTGCCTCAGCTTCCTTATTTGTAAAATAATAACATAATAGTATCTAGTTCATGGGGTTGTTAGAGGATTAACTGAGGTAATATAAAGCGCTTACTATACTAAATGTTTTACATATAAATGTTTAGTGCATCTTTTATTATTGTTGTTATTATTTCTTATCCCTTTGTTGAACTAAGATAATCTTGCAGATTGGAACCTTTCATTTTGGATATTTGAGATCTTTCTGTCTTGGATATTCTCATGTATGTGTTTGGGTTTTTCTCTGTCTGTATCCTAAAGGGATTCAGCAACATGAACATCAGAGAAAGTGGTTTTGTGCCAGGGATCTGGCCTGTGGCAGAGTGCCCATGCCAGTAAGTACCACTGAGTTCCCTTAGATATTATCTCAGTTAAGAGTGGAGCTCTGTGAAATGTCCAAATTGCTTAAGGTTACTTTGACTTCTTTTAGCCCCTGACCCTTCCTTCTATAGCTGATGAAGGAATGTTTGCACTCTCTCTAATGATCATACTTCTTCATAGCAGATGATCAGCAAAGTTATTATGAACTACTAATTGTAGAAATTCCAAATCTTAGAATATTCTTAATAAAAATAATTTTTTTAAATTATTTTTTAATAATAATAATTATTATTCTTAATAAAAATATTTCATTATTAGAGCATAGTCCCTTGAATCTATGAATTTTTTCTAGCTGTACATTGTTTATTCTCAAGATAAACGTAAAAATCAATGCTGAACATTAAAAAGTCTGTGAACTTAGAATAGTGTTTTACAAATGCAAAACTATTATTGGTGTCACGATGACTAATTTTGGGTAATTTTTAAGGGAGTCTTTTTAATATAATGAATCTTTGGAATATATGTTTAAATGATATGCTTCTCCTTGTATCTTTTTGCAGAAATTCTAGAGAAAGATTTAAAAAACACAAAGAGCCATCACAAAAAGTTACTAATTTTTGTTTTGTGTTTATTACTTTTTTAATTTCTTAAAAAAATTTTTTTTTAATTTTTTTTTGTTTATGTTTTATTTATTTCTGAGAGAGAGAGACAGCATGAACAGGGGAGGGTCAGAGAGAGAGGGAGACACAGAACCGGAAATAGGCTCCAGGCTCTGAGCCAGCCATCAGCATAGAGCCCGACGCGGGGCTCGAACCCACGAACTGTGAGATCATGACCTGAGCCGAAGTCAGACGCTTAACTGACTGAGCCACCCAGGCGCCCCTATTTTTTTAATTTCTAATAGTTTATTTTGATAAACTCTCTCTCAGAAATAAAAAACATTAAAAAAATTTTTTTAACATTTATTTATTTTGAGAGACAGAGGGACAGAGCACGAGTGAGGGAGGGGCAGAGGGAAAGAGGGAGACACAGAACTCAAAACAGGCTCTAGGCTTTGAGCTGTCAGCACAGAGCCCTACGCAGGGCTCGAACCCATGAACTGTGAGATCATGACCTGAGCCAAAGTGGGCCACTTAACCAACTGAGCCACCTAGGCGCCCCTGGTATTTTTATCTTAATGATGCTTAAACCAAGGGTCATTGTCAGGATTCTGACAAATGACATTTCAGAAATTAGAGCTTATTTTATTTTTTTATTATTTAAAAATTTTTTTAATGTTTTTTTATTTATTTCTGAGAGAGAGAGAGAGAGAGACAGTGTGAGCAGGGAGGGTCAGAGAGAGAGGGAAACACAGAATCTGAAACAGGCTCCAGGCTCTGAGCTAGCTGTCAGCACAGAGCCCGACGTGGGGCTTGAACCCACGAACTGTGAGATCATGGCCTGAGCCACCCAGGTGCCCCCAGAAATTAGAGTTTAATGTAGAGTTAATTTAGAATCAACCTTTGTTCAGGAAAGAAAAACACCCAAAAACTATAATCAGGAAAACTGTTGGCATTGTTTCCCTTAAAGGCAAAAAGCACTGTTTTAAAATAATCGTTAAAAGATAGTAGGTGAGGGGCACCTGGGTGGCTCAGTCAGTTAAGTGTCTGACTTTGGCACAGGTCAGGATCTTGTGGTTTGTGAGTTCGAGCCCCATATCAGGTTCTGTGCTGACAGCTCAGAGCCTGGAGCCTGCTTCAGATTCTGTGTCTGCCTCTCTCTCTCTGCCCCACCTCTGCTCGTGCTCTGTCTCTCTTTCTCAAAAAAATAAATAAACATTGAAAAAATTAAAAAAAAAAAAAGATAGGTGAAAATTTGACTAAAAGAAGTTCTTAGAGTTTTGGTAAAGCACCATAAAACTGGGAAGTCCTAGATAGACCCCTGCTAGACTAGCTTCGAGTCACTCTCTTGCCCCATCCTAAATGCCTTCATTTCAAAATTGCTTACCCCAAATCAAAGGAAGTATGGTTATGATATGGTTATCATTGAGGAATTTTCTCCTGTAACCAAGGGAGCTACTAGTTATCAAGCGTCCTCATTTCTTTGACATGTGTATAGAAGTCCATGTATATTCCTCTTGCATATGGCTCTTAATTCTGAATTTTCTTGAAGGATGATCATGAAAGCTAGACTAAAATAATTGATAGCACAGAATAAAAGATGATTTGCTCAGTCTTTCTGTCCATAGGAGAGTGGGTTCACAATGGGACTAATCTGAAGGAAAAGTACACAGGCGAAGGTAGGAGGGTGGTTTTCAGCAAGAAGTATATCTGCAGGAAAGGGGCCAAGTTAAAGAGAGGAACAGTGGAGGAGAGCCCAACCGTGGAAGGAACCTGTGTGGTGAGAGAGGAAAATATTGAACATTTTAATAACATGTACATAATTTGAATTTGGGGATTTTAAAATGCAGAGAGAAAAAATGAAAATACTTTGACAGACTCCTAGTTGGTGCTAATGCTATTCCACCAATTATTGGGGGTTTAGACAAAATATCAAAGTGATTAAATAGCATCTGACATATGAGCAGTATATTGAGTTATGTTACCCTTAAATTTTAGAGGTAGAAAGGATATTAGCAATTATTTACTCATAATTCATAATTTTGTAAAAGAGGAAACTGAAACCTGGAGATGCTAATTATTTAGCCAGTGTCACACAGGAAGAGCTTCTTAACTCTAAGTAAGGATGGCTCTTTTCTTCCATTTGGGGAATTTCCCTGCCCTCAATGGCTCCTTTCATTTTCTGGAATTCTACCTGAAGGAGGAAACAAGTAACAGAGCAGTGTATTAGGCAATGAATATAAGCCTTGGGTTGTCCTTGTGAATCCTAAACATTACAATGAAAAAAAATTAGCATGTTAGTAACTTACTATAGTTGGGGCTAATGTCTCTTAGTTTGATTTACTTCTCTTCACACAGGTAGGATTTATAATCCATGCACTTTTAGTATTATTGCATTCTAGAAATGCATAGGTTTTTTTCCTGGTGCATATTAGATCAGTAGTTCTTAACTGCAGGGTCCTGACATGATCATTAAGAGATATATTTCAAATAACACAGGAAGAATGCTTATAGGATGGTTTAGTCTTGTATTTTATATAAAAATGTGTATAACAGGTTAGCCCTAGTATAACTGTTATTAGCATAGCATTAAGATATTCTCTTCAGAGGGAAGAAGGAATGATACAACATTATTACATGGAGGAAGTTAACACCTAAATTTTAGTTGGAACTGAACCACTTTTATATGCTCCACTAATTATAATGGCGATTATATATTATTTTAGCACTTTGCTTTTATTCTCCCCCATGTTTATGGGGCATCATCCGAATTTGAGTATGATCATGGGAACGTGTTTGAATAATGACCATCATACTTCGTGAATGAAAGAAGAAAATAAATGCAAATTGTTATATTGGATTTGTTACATAAAGATGAAAGTGAGTAAAGAATTGCCCTGCCAGGTGTCCCTTTAGCTGGCACACATAGTTGATGGAGCCAATAATCTGTACTTCATACACAATTTTCCCATATTAATACCTTAAAACCCTGCAAAAGGCTCTGTCTTGCATAGGTAAAAGTAACATTCTTTGTTTTTCTTTATCGTCGTGGATTGCTTCTTCACATCACTACATAATTTCTTGCACTTAGTGACAACACAAGGTTGAAAAAACCCCATGAAAGGACAAAAAAGAGAGGAAGAATAGCAGTAGTGGCCCCGAAAGTGTGTGAGGGTGGGTGGAGGGTAGAATACAATGGAGGGAATACTGGGGACAGAAATGTGGGGAGAAGGGACTGAAATGAAAAGCCCTGTGTGGGAATTGCAGAAAGAGGAGTGGGAAATCCCAGAAGCATATTGAAGGAGGAAGACAACCCGACCTCATACTTTCCACCATGAGAGGTGCTTCCTTAGATCTGTTTTTAGGTGATTTAGCTGGTTCAGCATAGTGTTCTCTTCCATAGATTCAGTTTTTAAAAATTGTTTTAGAAACATTATATTTCTGTAGCCTAAATATAAGAATTTAAGAAAAAACACTAAATTGTAAAAGATTGGTATGATTTTTCTCTCTTGTTCCTTTGTTCTTTTAGTTGATGGAAGCTCATGCCAGCAGGGACAGAGTCATAAAAAATTGTATAGCTCAGACCTCAGCTGTAGTAAAACGCCTCCGAGAAGAGAGAGAAAAGAATTTGGATGATTTAACGTTATTAAAGCAACTTAGAAAAGAACAGACAAAGGTAAGTTGAATAAGCTTTAAATTTCTAAGCAAAAGATTTTCAAAATAGCTATCAAAATAAATTTAGCTATCCAAATAAAGGCAATTTTTTTAATACCTTATTTATTTTTTTTGAGAGAAAGAAAGCATAAGTAGGGGAAGAGGGGCAGAGAGAAAGGGTGGCAAGATCGGAAGTGGGCTCTGTGCTGACCGCTCAGATCCTGGAGCTGCTTCAGACTCTGTCTCCCTCTCTTTGCCCCTCCCCTGCTCATGCTCTGTCTCTGTCTCTCTGTCTCTCTTTCTCAAAAATAAATACATGTTTAAAAAAAAAGAAATGGACATTACTTTAAAAGAAAAAAGGATCAATCATTTTTAGTGGGCTTTATTTTATTACATTTAGATATTAGTTGGTATGTTAATTTGCATTTCATGAATATATGCAGTGTAGCAGCTTTAGCTTAAAGAAACATACAATCATATTTTCTTTCCATTTCTTTATATATTGTACTATTAAATATAGTAGGATTGATACAGACCAACACCACAACGGGAAATCATATCTGTATCTATGTTTAAAGGCTTGACTTAAAAATAAACTTTTTTAACATATTTACATTTTGAGAATGTAAAAGAAGTTGCTATGGGTCTTTGGTTCTTTTTGGACACTTTTTTTGTTTCCAATCTATCTTGCATCCCTACAGTTTTCACTTTTAAGAAAACAGCAAGTATCTACTGAGTGATATGTCAGAGGAAGCCTTTTTTCCCCAAAGTCAGCTGTAATGTAGATAGGGTGTGGACCTCAGAGTATAAGAAATGGAACAGAACCGTTCCTTTATAGCCGTTAATGGTGACATGTCAATAAAACAGTTGAAATGTGTACCATATTTTATGAAGTGAAATGCATTGCTGTCTTTCTTTGCAGGGGGGCTGTTTAAAGAGTGATTTTTTAAAAATTTTGATATAATTTTAAACTTACAGAAAAATTGCAAGAATAGTTCAGGGAACTTACTTATACCCTTTACCTACATTCACCTATTGTTTGCGTTTTGCCCCACCTGCTTTGCAATACATTCTCTCCACCCTCCCCTCCTTCTCCCTCCTCCTTCGCTCCTTTCCTTGTTTTCTTCCCCTTCCTACCTCACATAGGCATTTTTTTCCCTGAACCATTTGGCAACAATGTTGGGTACATTGTTCCTTTGCTCCTTACATACTTGATGATTTCCTAAGAAGGGCTTTTTCCTACATGACCACTGAGCAATTATCAGAAGCATGTCTATATTTCAAAGTAGTGCAATAGGTAACTTGCTGATACTTGCATATTGGATGACTGAAAACCCGGTATGGGACAGAATTGTGTTTTTCATTACTGAACAGTCATGAGGTCTGCCCTTCATTTAGTAGATGTAGCCAAACTTTGAAAAAGGAGCCTTAGCATCTCTCTCAAGCCTTTATTTTTGTAGCTGCCCATAGCTGAGTGTGTGCACTTGCTCAGTCATCCCACTGATGCACTGTCTTGCTGGATTCTTCCACTGTCTTTGTGGCTCTCTATTCATGACAATTGCTACAGTCCTGTATTCCATACCTGCTCATTCAGCAGGCAGTGGTGGGGTCCTCAGACAGTGAACTTAATGCTGAAATCGTCATCTTAGTCATTGATTATGAAGGCTTTTATAGATAATTTCTATAAAGCTAGTTAAAATCTAGTTATTTTTGGATTTTGTATTTTAACAGACTCTTGAAGGTTTTGACAAAGGAAATTGCAGGGCAGGGCTATTATATCAAACTGAAACTCATTATTTGCAAATTACATCAAACAAACACTACAGTGACTCGAATGGAGAGCAAAGTTCAGAAACCACGGAGTCGTTGGGAGTGATGTGTCACATAATTGGCCCACCCTCATCTCTGCCCTTCAGCCTCTAGAGCACAGAGAGAATCACCAGGATGACCACTGTAAGCAGTAGTTTCAGAAACCAGTCATCAAGTTATAAAAGGTAGCTTTCTAGTCAGATACTGTGTAGGACTAGAGGTTAACCATGAATAGTACCTAACCAAATAAGGAAGCTTGAATTTTTTTTAATTTTCAAGCTTTCTTCATTTTCATGAAGATTATGGAATCAGAAAGAGAACTCTTAGAGATGTTCCAGCTCTACCTCTTCATTTTTTTGATGAGGAAGCTGGGACTAAGAGTTCCTGACGACCCCAGCTAGTAAGTGGTAGAGCTGAGACTTTAACCCATGACTTCTGACTCTGGATTCAGTGCTTTTACATCAAATCGTGACTGATAGTCAGATTCTGCGATTGCTGTAGAGAACATACTTTATTTATATTCAGAGATGCCAGTGTAAAAGTTCCCAGTTCTTTCCCAGAGTCCTTAACTCAGAAAAAGCACATTCCTTGTTGGAACTGTGTAACTACTATCACCCACTGTCACCTATTCCAACTTCCTTTGAAAGGAAGTTTACCTGCTTAAAACCTAAAGCCTCAAAAACAACCATCTCTGAGGTAGCATTTTGTTGGTGGTGCTGAAATTGTATTAAAAGTTGGTTGTAATATCTGCAGCATTCAAGAATAGAAAAAACATGGATTATAAAGGCGGATGGCCCTAATGAATGAATCCCATCTACCACTTGGTGGCTTTGTAAACTTGTAAGTTAATTACTCTGAAATAATCTGATTTTTGGTTTGTGGAGTTGAGACTTCTTATGTTTTTGTTTTTAGAGATGAGGATTAAATTATATAATGTGTGTAAGAGTTAGCATATTACCTAATGCACTTAGTGGTTGTTTTCCTTTCCTTTTTTGAGTTTCTGGGACCCCTTATTTTTTACATTAATCCTCCTTACAATAGCTCCTAACCACTGGTTTATACTTTTTGTTTAATCACTATTAAGGGGTAGGGGAGGAGGAGCATGCAAATCCTCTGTAGCAGTGCATTCTCTTTTTGGAAACTAATTACTGAAAGATTTTCTTGTATACTATGAAAATCTGCCTCCCTGCAACATGTGATTATTGCTCCTTAGTCTTCGTCAGACCTCTGGCTGTATGCTCAAGGTGTGGAAAACTCATGCCTTTCTAGATCATTTGGGCCTTATGTATTCCCCTCTTTCTCTGTTTTTCTTCTTGATTCTTTTTTCTTTATACCTATATACCTATGTAGGAGAAGTCTAAACCCATTTGTTCTAGTGGCATGTCATGACCCTGTTTTTTGATTGAGTTTGTTACTTCTTTGGCAGTCAGTCCAGGCTTTGACAGAGCAGTGAAGCTTTAATGATTTCTGGTCCATGTAGCTGATTAAAATCTGAGGTTGCTTTGATGTCAGCAGATGGTCAGTCTTTTTACTACTTTACAGCACAAGACTGGTTGTCAGAAATGCAGTCCTACCTCTTATTCTAGTTTCAGTCCTATGTACCTGCCTATACTCTAACACCAGTTCTGAGTCTAGCAATGGATCAGTATTAAGTTCTTGTCTTATTAGTGTTACATGCACACTGCTTAAACATCCTGCCTGAACTCTGCTGCTAACTGGTCAGGTTCATTGGCCTGGGTTCCTGACTCGTGGTTGCCTAGATCTTGTCTGGCTCTCTGGTATTTTGTTCCCAAATCTCCTGGCTTGAGTCTTAACTTTGGCCCTAGGAAGGCATCCTGGTTTTAACCTCTTGGCTGCTTCAACCTGTAGTTCATGCTTTTTGTCCTAATTTTCCTGGATATTTCCAAGCCTTCTTCCTGGAGCTAGCTAGTTTCTTTCCTTTTAAGTTTCTTCCACCAGAAGTGACAAGGAGTATGATGGGCCCCCCCATCTGGGCCTGGCAATGGAATTGGCTACTTTTCTGATGGAATAATTAGGTTGGCAGTTGTCAGGAAAATTAGAAAGACTGTAGCGTTAGCCTGAGCTCTGGCTGTATGCTCAAGGTGTGGAAAACACCTGCCTTTTTAGATCATATGGGCCTTATGTATTCCCCTTCTTTCTCTTTTTTCTTCTTGATTCTTTTTTCTTTATCCAAATAAGGTTGCCACCTCATTTTTATTCTGTGTTGTCTTTGCAAATCTGTATTGTAGGATCAGTAACTAGAACTAGAATTATTGAATTCAAGGACATGTGAATTTACATTTTTATAAATCTTACCAAATTGCCCTCCATAGAGGTTGCAACAATATATACTCTTACTAACAATGCGTATATCTTTTCCCATACTCTCAGTAGTAGTAGGTTTTATCAGACATACTCATTTAAAAAAATTTTTGTCATATTATGGCTTGATTTGCATTTTTTTTTATATATGACCAAGATTGTATATTTAAAAAAATGTTTATTGACCATTTGTATTCCCGTTGTGAGCTACCTGGACGTTTGATTTTTTTTTTTTTTTTTTTTTAGCTCTCAAGGTGAGGGGTGCCTGGGTGGCTCAGTCGGTTAAGTGTCCAACTCTTGATTTCCTCTCAGGTCATGATCTCACGATTGTGAGTTTGAGCTCCATGTCAGGCTCTGTGCTGACAACATGGAGCCTCCTTGGGATTCTCTCTCTGTCCCTTCCCTGCTCAAACTTTTTCTTTCTCTCTCTCTCTCAAAATAAATAAACTTAAAAATAAATAAAGCTCTCAAGGTGATTATAATATGCTTGAGAACTACAGCTTTACAAGATTTAACAGCCGATTAGATATTGGAAGAATGGGCTATGTCCAAGATCTAGCCCAGGTGATATCATTAACAAATGGAGGAGCAATAGCTCATTTTATTAGGAAACTATAAATAGAATTTGGTTTTAGTTCTTTAATTTGAATTTTCATAACTCCAACCTTTTTTTTTCTTTTTTGCAGTTGAAATGGATGCAGTCAGAATTAAATGTTGAAGAAGTTGTAAATGACAGGAGCTGGAAGGTATAAAATAATGCTGTTTCTTGGAGGGAACTAGGAGGGAAACTGAACTAGCAAAGGGAAACCAAGGGAGGGGAGTAAGGAGTCCCTTGAAGCTCTCAAGAAGAATAGACATCCTTCATTTATAAGCAACTGAAAGTTTTAACTTTGAGAAGGATGCAATTGGCATCCAAATACAGTCACCTTATAAAAATCAACTTTAGAGTCGTATGGTAGATTTCATGACATGCCATGGTAACAGAATTGGAGACATTTTGTATGTTTCCTAATACTAATTATGGGCATATTTGTTATTTAAGGTTATTAGTAGTTAACTCAGAACCTTCAATGGCCTTATTTGTTAAAATTAGCCTTTTAAAACCCCATTGGTTTGCATAAATTTTCATATCATTAACTATGCTTCATTAGCAATTTTTTACAATGGCTTGCTTTCTGACATACCTGATCACAAAACTTATTTGTACATAACTTTACTGATACCTGATAATAGAGCTTTTTATGGCTGCTAGGTTCACATGTTCCTTATTGCTACCTGCCTAGTTCTGAATAGGAATTATTGGAGGACCAGGATTCGAGGACTTTACCTGTAGTCAAAAATCACAAAATGCTGACTTCAGTTGTATGAAATGGTATATCTGTATACCCTTCTCTAAAACTTCAAAGATTTCCAAAGGGAAAAAATCTATGAAATCTGAAAGAATGAGCTGAAAATTCTGTTTTATCCTTTGAAATTAAGCAATGGAATGAGGTTAAACACAGAGAGAGGTTAACTGAACCCAAACTAGAATGTACCAACTTGTAGAGCTAAGAATAAATTGCAGAGTACAAATTGATTGTCTTTGCTATATCACTTTTCTTTATTCTGTCCTCTCGGCCAGGATTTCCTATTCCTGCTCTTTCTACCAACGTGAGAAGGTGTTTACTGCTTGAAAAATTTTGGCGATATTTGTTCATTTATGTTCTACAGAGAGATAATATTTACTCTTGGGATGGGATAGGGAGGGTACAATGAATATCTGATTTGAAAAACCCAGTGGAGAAGTTGGTATATGTCAAATGTAGTGGGAGGAGTGAAGCATTTTTAGATTTGATACTTGTTTTAAAGAAAATACACTCCACCCAGTCTATAAAAACCCAAGTTCTCTATGTGATTTAAAAAAAAAAAAATGTAGCTATCAAGCAGTAGGCCAGCAAAAGTTAGGAAGGCATTTAGGAACAAGATTTGGAGAAGTTTGGCCAAGTCATACATGTCCCAACCATTGTGCCAAGGCCACTAATCTGAAGCCTCCCCTGGTTTGAGCATTGGGAACTTGAGGGAAATGTCAGGACTGGAAACCAACAAGAGATGAACTGTAAGACGAAAGGGCCAGAAAGAGTATATTTAATTTCTGTACTTTTTCTTTTAATTGTGAGTTAACACATACCAAAGAGGATATAACATGTTGAATTTAAGGAATATTGATAGAATGAACACTCATGTGTCTTCCATCCAGCTTAAGAGATTGAATAAACCAGTACCATAAAAGCTCCCTCTGTAGATTTTTCTTTTATTTTTATGGTAGTCCACAGTGGCCATTATAGGCTGTTTGTGTGTGTGTGTGTGTGTGTGTGTGTGTTTGTTTTAACCTTAAAAATGATTTGTTCCTTATGTCAATGAAGAATAAAGGTAAATTCTAAGAGGAAATTCTTATAGATTTTTGTAATTTTTTATTTGGACACTTAAAATTTTTAGACATGATTAAATATTTTTTAAATATTAAAGGATATATGGTAAAAAATTCTACCTCTCATTCCTCCCTTTCAGCCATTTCCTTTCCTCTCCTTCTAAAAGGATGGCATATACTATTAGATATTTGCACATTTTCTAATTTTTTGTGAGTATACACACATTTTCCTGTTAGTTGCATGTATGGAAGTATTACTGTCCACACTTTTTTTCCCCCTTAATGTATCTTGGAGGTCTTTTCAAATCAGAACATACAGAGCTTCCCTATTCTTTTTTATGTTTGCATTATATTCCATTGAATGGCTGTACCAAAATTTTTATTTAACACACTCCCATATTGACAGACACTGATTATAGAATGTTCTTTTAACATTTATGATAGGTTATTTATTTAGGTTTTTAGAAAACAAGTTAAATAGAACAAAACATTTTATAAATTTACATAGTTTAACAAATGATTGCTCTCCCTTTAAATATACCTACTTGTGAGAGGGATCTGCTATTCTTTTAGGAAATCACAACAGATAGCTAAGTAAAATCTGCATTGTAAAAAGAAGAAAAAAAGCTTTATCTCAAATTTATTTTTAGATATTTTTGTTTAACTGTCCAGAATATGGAATGAAAATGTTTGTTGGTTACTGTTACTAAATAAATAAGCAAGCTTGTGGTGATTTTTTTCCTTGAATAATATGAATTTTATTAAAAAGTTAAAATTGTCTCATAAATGGACATCAAAACCTTCTGTATTCTTAGCACTTGTAAGTCAGTTTGAACTGCTGAGGAAACTAAACAGATTTAGTTCTCTAAATCTGTTGACCTGGGATAAAAGTGGTTTTGTCCTCCTGAACCATGCTAAATTTAATTTAGTTCCAGGTTTGATTTATACAAGATGACTCAGTGACCTTTGTCTGTGTTTAAATATTTTAGGTGTTTAATGAACGTTGCCGAATTCACTTCAAGCCTCCAAAGAATGAATAAAAAGATACTTTTTTATAAAAGAACCAGGACATCTCATAAGAGCTAAGCATGACAGATATCAACAAGGTGGGCTTCCTAGGATGATTTCTGAGCCAACAGTCCAAGACCTTGTGTTGATTTCAGCCCCACTTAGCCAAGACCTTAAGTACAAATAATTCTGATAATTATGGAAAAATCAACTGTTATTTTATACTGATTCTGTAAAAAAAATGTTTTGTAACTATTAAAATAATTTTCTGACTCAGTGTACATATTTATTTGATTGTTTTCCAAGTTGAGATCATAAGTTCTTATAAGAGAAAATACAGTTTCAGTATCTGATTTTATTGTATTATACCTTTTTGATTTTTATAAATTTATTGGCAAGAACGTGGACCTTTTTTGGTCACTGATGATTTTATCTTTTTATTTATGTTTGTGGGGTTTATTGCTTCCATTAAGTAAGAGGGCAATATTATAAGCTGGATACCGTTCAAAGAAACTTTCTTTTGGTGCTTTAACTTATCTTGTTTTCATATGCAAAAACTAATTTTGGGTGGAATTTTCCTGGGCAATATTTCCAGGGGCAATGAAAAGGAAAATGGTAAAATAAATCTTAGAAAGGCAGAGGAGGGCTTGCATGATAGTATTTAAATGAGTCAGTAAATCTATCATTGCAGAATTCGGTCATTGCAGGGAAAGGATGACTTTCTAGTACAGGGTGACTATTAGTTTTCTTTTGGTACTTAACAGATTACCATAGTTTAGCAGCATAAAATCACATGCTTTTTATCTGTTTACAGTTCTGTAGGTCAGAAGTCCATGACTGGGTTCTCTGCTTGGGGTCACATAGGCTGAAATCAAGTCAGGTAGGCTGGGCTCTTGTTTGGCGCTTCTACAGAAAGAATGTTTCTAGGCTCTTTCAGTTTGTTGGCAGAATTCAGACCCTTATGGTTGTATGACTGATGTCCCCATTTCCTTGCTGCTATCATAGGTCACTCTAAGTTCCTAAAAACTACCCACATATTTTGGCACATGGCCCACTCCTGACTAGCAATAGTGCATTGAATTCTTCTTTTTCTTGGAATTTGACTTCCTATTTTGCTATAAACCACACAAATTCTGCTTTCAAAAGGTCTGTGTGATTAGACTTGCAATGACAGTCTTCCTTTTGATTAACCCAAAGTCAAATGATTATAGCCTTAATCACACCTGCAAATCCTTTTTGCTAGGTAAGGTAACATCACAGATGTAATATCTCATGTTCACAGTCTAAGGTATTAGAGTGGGATGTCTTGGAGAGCTGTTTTAGGATTCTGCAAACCATAATGATTTAAACAAGCCATCTGGCTCTGGCACAGTTAGATTGACCAACTGGGTTGTAGGTAGGCCTGCGTGTTGCATGTGTTGACCCTCATCGATTATGCATTTAGAAGTGAGCGATAAAGGTATAAAGTGCTCACCATTCTTTCAACAGATCTTTTGAGCACTGACTGTGCAGGTTAGATACCATCTTAAGCGTTAGGGATATTAATAAACAAAATCTACTTTTGTGGAGATTATAATCTAGTCTTCTTAGTAAGGAAAAGTGTCTTAGGACCAGCAATGTAAAAGATTTTCTATAGGACTTAAAGTGAATGGTGCCTGACAGAAAGTTGACATTTAATTTTTTTCTTACATCTGCATCTTTCAATTGAAAGGACACATGCAAGAAAAAAAGTAAGATTCAATAAAGATCTTCCTGATCCTCAGAAGGGAATTGAGAAACAATCCCTGGAAAGTATTCATAACAGTGTTTCCAGAATTTCAGGTCTGCTAGAATACTGTCTAGCTAATCCAATTATGTTAGTAGGATGCCCAAATCATCTCAATGTAACATGAAAAATGTGCAGTTATGGCAATGAGCAACTTTTAGTATAATGAGTATTAATATAATATGTTTAATTTGTGATGAATGGCATTTAAAGCTTCAAATATGAAGAGAAAGGGATGGCACACTATTCTTGAAAGTTGATTAGCCTGCTGAAACAGTGTCTTGCATATAATTGCTGCCTTAACAATAATAGTTGATTTTGTTGGCTTGAAGGATAGATAGGATTTAGTCAGAGAGAGAGGAAGAAGAAACGGAGTGCAAAAGTTCAGAGATGAGTTTGGCTTTTCCTTGACAGGACAGAAGTTAGCCATAGAAGAAACACCAGTGATAATCCATCTTTAACAAGTGTTTGAGTATCTCGTGTATTCTAGGCACTGTTAGCCAATATGAATACATCACTGAACAAAACAGATAAAAAAAAAATACCTGCCCTTAAAGAACTTACATGTGGTAAGGGAGACAGAGAATAGTAAAGAAGTAAATTATATAGTATACTAAAAGGTGATAAAGCTACATAACAAAAAAAGAGAATCTGGAAGGGGGAGTGGAAAGTGGGTGGCAAATGGCTTATTTCAGCTGATTAGAGAATATTATAATGTCCTTGTCTTTGAAAAGCTAATTTAAATGCAGTCTGAAATATACCAAATAAGTGCAGTAATAAAAAGGAAGTTTTCTAATAAGTCATTTTCTGTCTCTCTCTCTCTCTAAGTAAGCTCTGTACCCAGCAGGGCTCAAACTCATAATCCCAAGATCAAGAGCCATATGCTCTACCAACTGAGCCAGTCAGGTGCTCCAGTCATTCTCTCTTTTTTTTTTTATAAGGTTTTTTTTTTTAATGTTTTATTTCTTTCTAGGAGAGAGAGAGAGAGAGAGACAGCGTGAGCAGGGGAGAGTCAGAGAGAGAGGAAGACACAGACTGAAACAGGCTCTAGGCTCTGAGCTGGCAGTCAGCACAGAGCCCGACTCGGGGCTCAAACCCACGAACCGCGAGATCATGACCTAAGTGAAAGTCGGACGCCCAACCGACTAAGCCACCCAGGCGCCCCCAGTCATTCTCTCTTTTAAGTTGTGCTTCAAAGATAACTGGTTTGGGACTTGGTGTGATAATGTACCCAGTGCTACCGCAGTAGTCTTTGCTTGTGTGCCGTCCTACCTATTTAAGACCATGCAGGGATAACTTGTAAACTGGAAGATTAGTTCAATTTGTGGTCTTGTTTCAAATCAAGAAAAATGAATATTCTGCCTAGAGTTACATGCTAATCAAATGTTAGCGATTACTTAGGTTACTCCTGATTTCTCTTGTGGGTCTCCTGATGCATAAGAGCAAATCCACTGGCACTTAAAGATAGTTGCTGTAGATGGAGTGGTTTTTCTCCAATTTTAAAAACTGGCAGGCAAAATTTGACTCCTGCTTAAAATTCTTCCGTGGCTTCTCCCCAAGGATAAGTACCAAGTTCTTAAAATGACTTTTGAAGTCTTTTATGCTCCGGTTTGGGCTTACCTCTAACCTCATCCCTCTTTACAATGCACTTTATTCCCCACTAGGAGGAAACTACTTCTGTTTCTAGAAAAGACCCAGTGTTAGCTCGGAACTTCAGCATATGCACTCTTCTCTGGCCAACTTTTCCCCATGCTTCGTGTCTCAACTATCGCTTCCTTCAGCAAACTTTTTCTGACCTCTCAAATACAACTTAGGGGTCCTTATTATGTGCTCCCATGATAAACACTTCTATCATGATCTTTATCATGCTCTTCAGTTGCTGGTTTTCCTCTACCCCACCAGTTTTGGAGGGCTGGTGCTGTAGATACTCAGTGCTTGGGATAATTAAGCCTGAGACACAGCTAATTTTCTGCTCTACTTCCATTTTCCTCTTCCTGATCAAAAGCAGTAAGGTAGTTTTTGAGATATAAGTAGAAGACTATTGGGGTATTTTGGGGTAACTTACCTGATGCAAGCATTGACCTTTTCTCCTCCTTTTTTCCTGGAGTATGGTTAGGGTTCCTAGAAATAACAAGGACAAAGAGCTATGTTCACGTGGTAATGAACATGAAGATAAAACCACATACTGAGGATGGCTGAACAGAAAGAGAGAAGGCGACTGGATCATTGATGGCATTTTGGCTTGCCATTCCAGCCCTGGGCTATCTGTGTCTCCAAACTTATTATTAAATGAGGGCAGGAATTTGTAATTTTTTCATTCATATCAAGAGTGGGTCATATCAAGGATGGTTAGCTTATTTGGTTAAGCCTTTTTGTTTAGGATTCTGTCACATGGAGCCAAATGCAGCCCATAAGTGGTATGTTCAGTGAATGAACAGTATACTGTTACTAATAATAGCTCATTTGTTCATTGCTTACTATAAATTAGAAGGTGAACTTTGAGAGATTCTAATAGGTAAAGGCTAGAGAAGACCAGTCCTATATGAAGGAATGGCCAGAAGTGTGTGAAGGAATTTAGAGGAAATTCATCTTCTTTCCATAAGAAGAATGTCTCAGCATTAAGAGCTATTCCAGGGGTGCCTGGGTGGCTCAGTCGGTCAGGCGTCCGATTTCGGCTCAGGTTATGATCTCACAGTTTATGGGTTCGAGCCCCGTGTTGGGCTCTGTGCTGACAGCTAGCTCAGAGCCTGGAGCCTATTTCAGATTCTGTGTCTCCCTCTCTCTCTGACCCTTCCCTGCTCACGCTGTCTGTCTCTCTCTCTCAGAAATAAATAAAATAAAAAACATTAATTAAAAAATTTTTTTTAATAAAAAACAGGACCTGTTCATTTCTTGCTTCCTAAGGATTTAGGTCAGATCTCATTTAAATATTGCAACACAAATGCAGAGTCCCCCCGCCTTTTTTTTTTTTTTTGCACAATTGTTAAACTTACATTAAATCTCCCTGTCCCTCTCTCTCTCTCTCCTCCTAATCAATCATACCTTATTTCTCTGAGGACAAAATATTCCTGTCTGTCCATCCATCCATCCAACCAATTCAAACAATTCTTGCATCCATATGTTTGCCATGTGGATCAGATACCAGCCACACCACAGCCCTTTCTAGGGAAGATTCTGGCCCACAGTTCTTACTGAAAGAGCCTCTCTGTGTAGCCTGTTTTACACTATGCTGATTCTACCAGGGCTGCGCAACTGCCCACAAACTGCCAAACCTTAAGTTGGCCAGTGTCTGAGGACATGTCCTGGGGCAGGAAGGTGATCTGGACAATTACATTCTTCAAAGGTTTGAACCAAGAAATACTGACAAAATGATATAGTTAGGCAGTCGGAAGAGAGTGAAGCTTGAAGGAAAGTAATGTGGTACAATAGGTGCCATGATGGTCCAGTGTTCTGAGAAAGCAGGAGCTGTGAGGATGCAAATCATGAAGCAAAGAAAATTATACAGAAGAAAGAATGTCAGTGAGAACTGGCAGAAAAGTGGACAGACACAGGTGCAGACAGCTGCTTGGGAAATAGCTGAACCCATTAATAATGTAAAAACTCACATCCATTGCTCCTCAGGTTCTTAGCTGCCTTGGATTCTGCTTCTTGGATCTCCAGTTATGAGACCCAGTTTTGTATAGATCCCCCTTCACAAGCGCTGGTTGTTTGGCATTTCCTAGATTCCTAAGCAGATGCACCTTTATGATAAATCCCTGCATTACATAAAATAAATTCTCTTGAATCAAAGGAGCCTATCAAGAACGTTCCCACTGAGTCAGCTGACCAACTAGTATCTCCTTGTTCAAGTAATCCTTTGACATTAGGACAATTTTTCCTCATCCAGTACTTCCTCATATTGTCCTTTAAAGCACTGGGTATGTGCTTGGATAGTTCCTTGGGAGAAACTCCTCACTGTGTCTGAACTTCAAATTCCAGCAAGGGAAGCCTCGCAAGCCTTCAGGGTCCAGGATGAGCCTTTGGCTTTCTCCTAAAATAAGAAACCAGGTAGAAATTGACAGAGTCACTTCTTCAGGTAAGTGAAGAAACCTATTTCCCAAGATGGGACAGAAAGG